AAAGTATTTTTTAATTATATCATTCTTTCGTAGTTAATAAGAGATGCAACAAAGCTAGACAAGTTTCATTGATCGAATTATCACAGACATTCTTACCACCATGCAGTACTTTCCATATTTCTTATTCTGCAGGAGACATTTAACTCCACCGATTAAGAGGTCTAACTATGAAGAGAGTATTGAGCACGTATATGATTTTAAATAGAGCTCAGAATTCCAACGGCCAATATCATGTAGAGGCTTACAGAAAGCTATTTGAAACGACTACGGTCAGTAGTGTTTCACCATACTAAATTGACTTTTTTAGGGATAAATTAATCGAAAGAGGAATAAGAATTTCAACAAGAAGTGACAGTTTAGACGAATGTTTATCTCTAATCTTACCTCAGTATCACTCTATATTACCTAACATTATAGACTTATGAAAGAGAAAATCGGTAGAATCCAGTGCATCCAGAGTGAAATGCCTTCCCTTGAACTGACGAGTGCCAACAGGCCAGAAACTTGAGTCAAACAGCGCTTCTTACAAATTGCCTCCATCCAGGTAACACCTATCAAAGTGCATCGCGATGTTGAGTTGCCTAGCCTGGCGGGCACATTGCAAATTGGTTGACAGAATTCGATCAGCACTCAGAACTAGACAACATTAAGTTGGTTACCCTCCAATGACCAGCCAGTGTACCTAATCCAGTCCTAAAGGAGGTCGATTGTGACCTAAATAGCTCACTGATAATGTCTGTGACTGCAGCACTGGGTGACGCGAGTTTGAATCCGACAGGGGACGTCAGTTCCGTAGAGGTCGTGGATACACCTCGCTAACGAGCGCTGATTGGCACGAAACTTAGGTAGAGTAGGACTCCCTGCCGATTACCTCTATCCAACTAACACCATTCAACCCCAATGGTTCAGGAAAAAAATGTAGAATAACTATCGAGTATGTGTATGCAGTTCACAGATATAGTGATGTACAATATAGATGAATATCAATGTATTCTTTCAATTATGTTATATCTGATTACAGAATAAAATCGAATTTTCAATTGCACTATCAGTCAGACAATGATTCAGATAGCTAGTGAGATAACTGTTTTCTTATGCCTAGAATGTTGCATATCCAATCAAGAGAATACTGGATAAAAAATAAGAGACAAGTTGTACAGGTGAACATTGATGAATTATTCCACTGAAATGAGAAGCGAGAAAAGAAATTATAGTGAAAGAAGTACTGGTGTTTTCAGTATTTGAAATCATGATTGATCAAGCAGACTTCAAGAAAAGTGTTCAAGTTTTCTTTCTTTTTTTATTGGGCATGGAGAGATGCGACTTCCCCAAAACAACACAATATTGGGAAATACACATTTAGTATAGATCATCAATCGGCAATATTTATTCATCTGAAATAGAAATAAAATAAATTTTTATCCAAATTTTGAATCATTTTTAGCTAAGAAGCATCTTAGGTGTAAGAATAATACTTTCACACGTCAAATAAACATAGCTATCAAAAGTGTTTCACACTTCCTATTTAGTGGTAGACAGTAATGAGTATAAAAGTTTTAATGAAAACAAGAATCTATCAAACTCCATGTATTGATTGTGAGGTAAGTGAAACTAGCTGGTCAAGTCAGTTAGAATAGCCGAACATAGGAATTTACCTGAATAGAGAATGACAGACCCAAATAAGATCCACAATGCAGTGCATGCATTTACACACAGGATGGGATAAAACCAGCCTACTTAAGTCCAATATAATTAGGGGGATAGAGATTTCTGAATCTTTTTTCATTGAATCTACACCCAACACATGTAATAAAAATGATGAGACACCTATACCAGAGATATATGAAAAATCTTACATTGATATGATGATGAGCAATAATTTGTGCTTGAAATGTCATCAAGTAAATAATACTCTATCACTGTCCGCTATATACCAAAATGTAATATGGAATTACATTCTACCACAGTCCCCAAGTTTTACACTTCTATTGAAAGAAGGAATGTTGACAATTCTACTCTTGGTCACCTCATCATCTCCAGACATATGGCCCCTCCTAGAAGTTCCTTCAAAGTAAATCACAGAGTGCCCCACCATTAAAACTACTAAGGATTTCAGCTACATCACCTTTACACAAACTGATCTTTATGTTCAGAAACACCACGTGTAACCACAACCAGCCCTACCATGGCCAAATTAGTGATTTCCTTCTGTCTTAAGAAAAAACTTTTCTCTACCCTTGTACATTATGGTAAACATATGTCAGTCCTGACTAGAAATAGACTGTTATTTGCTTCCATTGATATTAACTGCTATTGTGTACACCTTTAGTAAATGAAATTATTATCGAAAAGGGAAATTTTCTTTGCTGTTACGTCTTTATTTTATTGCCTAATATAGGGATTTTCCGTTCATTAATACTCTATGATTTACACTCCTTAAATAACTGTCCGTTCATGAAACTTATTCGGTGTCGGTAATTCCGTATTTCTTTCTAGATAATCACTAGTTTTAATTTTGTAAATCTTACATGCATAATGCATTAGACAGCTCATCATCATTATGACAGGCACAATGGACATAATTAACATGAGTGAGTGTAAAAGTAAAACTTGAGCACTGTAGTATATTACAATTCAATGTTAGATTGTATGTTACATATAGCCCTCAGTGACACAGCATTATTTACTGGATCATGTTTCCAGCACAATTCGTCACTCATAATCACATCAAAGTATTCGTACGACTTTCATACTTCACTTGCTACATAGTCCAACAGGTCTTCATTCCTTTATTTTAATCGTAGTACAATTTTTTCAGTTATCTGCAATGTGGAATGAGTCATTCCTGTTACATGTGTTAGACGCTGGTTGGTTCAATGTAAAAAGATTCTGTGATTAATCTCTCCCTCCACCTGGTTATATTGGATTTTAGACTTGTCAATTTATCTCGTTTATTCTACAGTGTGATTATGGGTCAGTGCATCCAGAGCAATAACCAAAGTTTTCTAAGTAGTAGGGTCTACCGTTGTGTGTTTCTTTAAATTTTCGTGCTCTGTTATTCTGACTGACCCTGATCGACTGCTTTCACCCATATACTTGACCTCACAATCATTACATGGTAGGTATTTGACAAGTTAGATTATTCTGTTTAATTGGCTCTACTGGATCTTTTCGCCTAGCGAGTTAATGCGTTAAAATACCACCATAACCGCAGCACTGTTAGAAATTCTGCTTAAAATTTTCAATGTACCTTCTTTATACGGCAACACTACAGAGGATTCGAATTCCCTTCTAGGCATCTTGCAACCACTACTAACATTATCACTCCTCGTCTTATGAGTCTTTACAAACTTTTTAACAATGCTAGATCCTACTTAAATAAGTAGTTTAGAAAACCTTGGTTATTGCTCTGGATGCACTGACCCATAATCACACTGTAGAATAAACGAGATAAATTGACAAGTCTAAAATCCAATATAACCAGGTGGAGGGAGAGATTAATCACAGAATCTTTTTGCATTGAACCAACCAGCGTCTAACACATGTAACAGGAATGACTCATTCCACATTGCAGATAACTGAAAAAATTGTACTACGATTAAATAAAGGAATGAAGACCTGTTGGACTATGTAGCAAGTGAAGTATGAAAGTCGTACGAATACTTTGATGTGATTATGAGTGACGAATTGTGCTGGAAACATGATCCAGTAAATAATGCTGTGTCACTGAGTGCTGGTTTTATCAAATAAACAAATCTAATATGGAACGGTGAACACCGATTCTGTCTAAATGAATGTAAACCCCACGCCAGCAACTAACAACACTTGTCTTAGTAGTATGGAGAGTTCAATGAATTTATCAACCAGCTTTCATATCCGAACCAACTATTTAGACTACTATACAGATGGAGTTGCTACTGGGGACTTTCAAAGTCGTAAACTCATCAATCTTGTTTTATTATGAATGGAAGGGAACCATTATGACTAATCTGCAAGTTGATAGTGTCCACTAGATGTCGAGATTAGACTAACTTTAAGATTTCTCTAAGAGCCATCGAAACAACGACCGAAATTACCAATTAGGCTTAAAAATTATGGGTGGAAAGGTGAATTTTCATAAAATCAAGAATTTTAAATGGTTATTTCCGCCGTTATTAAGATGAACTTTAGAGTCACTCAATTCCCAACCTAAATGCCGAAACCTCATTGGTTATTTAAACATTTCCCAAGGTAGAGTCACTCCGAAGTTATAGACTTTCGAGAGAAAAAATTGGTGTAACTTTAAAAGCTACACTAGTAACAGCTGAAATAATCAATCAGGTTAGTAGTAAGTTAGTTTTTCACAAAATAACGATTCGTAATTGGTTATCTCATCAGTTATTAAAGCGGCCTTTAAATCCACTTGAAAATCGAGTGGTTTAGAGACCACCTTGGCGACCAGTGGGGTAACCAATTGAATTTTTCCTATTCAGTTGGAAAAGCAGTTTTCCATAAAATAAAAAAAAGCCTAAATGGTTATTTAAGTAGTTGAGACTGATTGTTTTATAGAGGGGAACTTTAAACGCCACCTTAACAACTGATGAGATATCCAACTACGTTTTTCTATTTTATGAAAAGCTACCTTTCCAGCTGAATATCCAAAGTCTTATTGGCTTTTCAGCAGTTGTCAGGATGGCCTTTAAAGCCCCTGTGCCAAGCCTTTCCGGATAAGTGGAACTGTGACTCCCCGGTTAACTCAGTTGACTTTGAACCAGTGTGTCATGGTTTCAAACCACACACCACCTACCGAAGTTTGAGTAGCCAGGTAATATCACCAGCCCTCACACAATATATGTAGCTCATTGTCTACTACACGAGGTTGTTAAGTGCATTTCGTGCTTTTTCCGACTTCTACATAGGGGAATACACAAAACTTAGACCTAGTTAACTCTTCAGTATTTTACATACAGTAAGCATTAAAAAAAACTACTTACCATCCATATAGACACCATCAGCAAGTACTAGTTGAAGTATACGATCATAATAAACTTTGCTTTTTCTTCGCCTAATACACTACTGATAATTTGTTCACTTTCTGTAATCGTTTCATCTTCATCCTCTTGTAATGCCTATTGAATGAATAATCAGAAACAAGGTTTTGACTAAAATTACTTTCTTCGTGAATATTTTATATCTACCTTTGAAGCCAAACACATAAATCATGAAACTCACAAATCTTATTCAGATTTCAACACTTAACTATAAAAATAAATAATGCTATTCAGGTAACCACAGTATGACCTAGCTACGATTGATTTGAACCTTTATCCAGTACTAGATATTTAATTAAGAGTCGCGTTTACTGCACTGTAGTTCGCTGTGGCTGGGAAACATGGCCGTTAAAGGTAGAATACATGAGAAGGCTTCTGGGGTTTGACCACCGTTGACTTCGCAGCATTGGCCATGTGCCGTGGTTTCACCATGTGAGTAATGCAGAAGTCAGGTGTAGAGTTTAGGAAGGAAGGTTAAGTCAGTTGATGCGGTTGTGAACCCTCATCAGCTCAGGTGAGTGGGACATCTGCTACGCATACCTAGTCACTATCGGCCTCGTTGAGTGATGTTAACTGAAGTAGGTTCATGCTGTAAAAAGGCTCAGGGCAACCTGACTAAAACACGCCATCTTTGACTTTTGGTTTGAGCCATGTGGAAAAATGTGGATAACAGAAACTAATGGTTGGATGCTGTATGTGATATGACTCAGAATTGGACTCAGTGGCGCAAATGTATCCACATATTATTCTCATATTAATCGTCATACTGAATTCAGCATGTTTGCATTCCGCCTTCCTTTCTTTTACTGCTTTTCACAGATTCTCCTTTATTCCTTCATCTTTCATCTTATTGCCTTTCTACTTGATGTACTGATATGAGGTGTGACAGCTTGAACCGTTACGCAGTAATGATTGGTCCTATGTTGATACTGATTGGTTGAGGTATTTAATGCGCTATACGAATAAAAAATGTGTCGTTATTATTCAACACATATTGTAGTGTTCAAATGTTTATTATGTTATACGAAAAAGATGAGGAGTATGTAGTATGACTAAGACGGAAAAATGTCAACCACTGAAATACAGCCCATTACCCCAACAGGAACCCCAATCATTATAAAGCAAGAAGGTATATGGTAGGTATACTCAACTAGTGGTTTTCGGGGATCCGCCGATTTCAAGGTCTTTTTCACGATGAAATGTCATAGTCTGGAGGAAAAATGAAATTACAGGAGCACTGTGCAACTGGTTCGAAATTCCTCAGTCCTACTCATCCATGACCTCATGAGAGACTGAGCCCCGAACCATCAGGTCTCATGGCGACCACGATGCCACTCAATTACTGGGGATGAGTCCAAGGCTTCAAATATTTCCTTTGTCACTCAGTTCACGATATACCACCAACTTTTCCAATATCATCAGTGATTATCTATCCTCATCCATCTCGAAGTAAATAATGCGCTGGATCTATCGTCGCCTTACGGATGCTCACTGTAGAGGAGTCCCATACTAAGACAAAACACATGTCAAGTGTTCACATATTTTCATCAGTTCTTCTACTGATGTGAATCCTTGATGAAGTATGTTGTTACAGAATTTAGAACTACGTCAAAATGGTTCTCCAGTAGTTTCCACTCTGCAATGAAACGATTAAAAGCAATCTACATCTTGAAAATAATGATGTATTTCGTTGAACACAAAGATAACTGAATGCTAAATACGTAGGCGGAAATAAACACCACTGAAATGATGTAAATCACACGAACAACCATGCTCAAGGGACTTTAAAGGCCATCCTAACAACTGCTGAGATAACCAATTGTTTTTCTTTATTTTATGAAAAACTAACATCCCAGCCAAAATTCCGGAATCTGATTGGTTATTTACGGCGGTTGATTGAGTGGCCTTTAATAACGTCCAAGCTTAATGTGTTAAAGATATACGTGCATACACACATACAGAATGAAATTCGCGTGTTTTCCTATGCAACTATTCCTCACTAATTTATCTGAGTGGCTAAGTGTATATTTTAAAATGCCAATTGCACACAATCATACTAATCCTTCTTCTTTAGTGTAATAACTGTAAATTGCCAATCCCCTGAATTACATGATTGTCTAATTTGTCCATAATACTGATTGAGTAAGCGACTAATTACTAGCAAGTTTGCTACATTTTGGTGTTCTCAACGCGGATGACTTTAAAAGTCACACCACCAACTTCTAAAATATCCAGTCAGACTTCTCTATTTTGGCTGAAAAAGTTCATTTTTCGCAAAACAAAGTAATATAATTGGTTATCGCAGCCATTGCTAAACTGATCATAAAAGTCATTCTTCAATTCACTGACAGATTAGTCACATTATTTGTCCCCGCCGTTAGCACAATAAAAAACAGTCTGACTACTGACTACCACCACCGTAGGAACTAATGAAATAACCAATGAAAGTTCTGTATTTTATGGAAAGAAAAAGACATTTTTAGTCGATATAAAGAAACCTAATCGTTTTTTTAGCAGTTTCATTTTTATAGTGGTGATAATGGATAGGGCTAGCAGTGGAATCCAGGACGTGCGTTACTTTGTTGTACTAGTAATACAAACAACAACACGAGAAGTGGCTATCGTGTTTCATTGGCCAAGTGGATAATGCTCTAGCTTTTGAAGCGACTGGTCCAGGGTTTGGGTTATCGTGGGGACAACATCGCTTATTGTGATGCAGGTGCATTCAGCTGACGAGTCCCATATGGGATGAAACGTGCGTCCTGGATTCCGCTGTAGTCACCACTCGTCATCACTATCAAAATTGAGAACATTAACAACAAAGGCATCTGCATAAGTGCCCATGTGCCAATAGGAATCAATTGATTCGGTCCAATCAACGACGGGATAATACAAACAACAACATATTTGAGCAGTTGCTAAGGCAGTTTTAGAGTCAACCCCTGAGTCATCCTCATTATACAGCTGGCCTGATGTGACAATGCACTATAATTCATTAAAATAGAATGATTGATTTAGGATGACTTAAAGACCGCCTAGCAACTGCTAAAATAATCAATCAGGTTTAGATATTCCGTCTGGAACAGTATTTTTTCATTAAATAGAGAAACGTAATTGGTTATCCGAACAGTTGCTAGGGTAGCCTTTAAAGTTGCCCTTAAAGTCACTCCTTTAAAGTTCATCCTAACAACTACTAAAATGACCAATTTCTTTTATGTATTTTTAGCAAAACTATCATTGTAGCTGAAATAGAGATACCTACATGATCATTACAGTAGTTGCTAGAGTGATGTTTAAAGTCATTGCTAATTTTACACACAGAAACCGAGATGATACGCTGTGTGATTTCATTTACAGCTATTATTTCACAGTCATGAGTTGTGTGAAACATGAGACGTTAACAAAAATCTCCTGGTCTGTGTTATATACAATAATACTACTGAATAAGTTCTCAGTAAACGTGGGTGAGACATGGTCTAGTGGATAATACTTTGACATTTGGAGAGATGGGTACTGGGTTTGAGTCTCAGTGAGAACAACATCGCTCACTGGAATGAAGATAAATCCAGCTGACAAATCGGTCCCAGATAGGACGAGGAGCGCGTCCTGGATTCCTCTGCTGGTCACCAAGATGCGTGTTTTCAACGGAACATTTTTGACAGCAAATAAAAGTATGCAAACGATAAACTTGTCTAAAATCCAAGTTTTTTCAACTTCAATTGGTGTACAATTGGAATTTTCGCTTTCTGACCGATTTCATTCATTTTATTAGTAAGAATAACGAATATCAAATCCAAAGCTAGAATGGACTGTGAGCGGTGGCATCTTTGTCGGTTATTCTTCATACATTATGAATAAATCAAGACGTCACAACTTAAGTATGTGATTATATGTTGTTACTTGTATTATCCCGTCGTTGATTGGGCCGAATTTACCAACCATTATTAGTATATGGGCTCCTGCGTGAAGGTCTCTCGATATTGCTTGCGCTTAAGTTTTGTATTAATGATGGATAGTGGCCAGCAGTGGAATCTAGAATGCTCACTTCGTCCTATTTGGGACTCTTCGACAGGAAGTGCCCGCCCCTTAACGAAGGATGTTATTCCCGCTAATACTGAAACCCTAGAGTGATCATTCTAAATACCACAGCCTTGTTCACTAGACCACTGAGACTTGAAAGCCACATCTTGTGTGACGGGTCCCGGGTTCAAGTCCTATTGAGAATAACGTCACTCACTGGGAGGCAGATATATTCACTTGACGAAGAAGAAGAAACGTGCACTCTGGATTCCGCTGTTAGCCACTATCTGTTATTGACTATGTAACTCTGGAGGTAGAAGCCAACAACTTGAAACCTAGCCAATTTAAAATCCATCCACAGATAAGTAGTGGATGAATGTATAAATTCATCTTACCTGGATCACATTGTAGGCTTTAATTAACAATTCAAAGCCCAACTCTTCTTCTAACTCAGCTCTCATTCGCTCTAAACGCAGGAATTGTGTATTTCCCAGTTGACTGGTATTCATTTGACATGAAACGTCTTTGTTTAATTTCTTACCGACATCACCGCTTTGATATCGTTTATTAGTATTATCGTATGATGTATTACTTAACATCGAGTCATCACTGAATGCATCTGATTCATCGGTATCATCTAAATCATCATCGTCGTCATCATTATCATCATCATCGTTGTCATCGTCACTGGAGATTTCTTCTTGTTCACTTATATCAAAATCTGATTCACTGACTTCAGTGACTCGGGCTAAACGATTTGCCTGCACTGGTTTACACATATTCATAAATAATTCATTTGGTTGGTTCTTTTCCTTCTTCTTTGGTTCCATTCACTCCATGTATAACACTGATGACTCTTACGTCATCGTGATTATCATCGTCGTCTTCAAGTTCTTCAGTAATTTCATCGTCTGTATTCTTCTCATCCATTCGATCATCCTTTGTTGTAGCTGTATACTCCATTGAAACATGATCTAACCGACTGAGAAAATTACGTAGTTGCCTACTTGATGTCATTATCTCATCATGATTATTACTTCTGTCTGATATATGGTGCTTTTGTGATCTTTGAAGTAATGAATTCATTTCAGTATAACTGTTATATTATGTCTCATCTGAATGATGTTGACCAGGGATTCTTTGAACTGGCAGGTTAATTGACACTAAAAATAAACAATGAGTTGTACAGTATTTCAATTTTTAAATTATGTGCTCATATTTTATCAGTTTGACTATCTGAGACAGCCGTGGTTTGCACACTTGTACTGATGATTGAAGGTGAAATGAAAATCTTGACTGCTACGAGATTCGAACCAGTGACCTCCAGGTTGCCAGCCCGGTGCTCTATCAACTAAGTTACGAGACGGACCTGTAGACCATATCTCAGTTTTGCTTCAATCATCAAGGGTTTTACTAGACTGCCATGTGAATTCGTGATACGGTTCTCTTTGTTCATCGCATTCACACTGGCTGCCTAGCTAGGACTTATCACATTTGATAAATTTATAAAATGGACATATTTGAGAATATTTTCATTTAGCTTCTAAATTAAAAGAGATCTAATTGGCTGTTATCTTCAAATTTACAAGTCACGGAAATGTTCAAGTGAAGAGAATTAACGAATTCATTAAAATATGTAATTCATCTGAAAAATGTGACGTAATTCCGCTATACATTTCGAACAATCTGAGCTACATAGAAGGTATATTGTTGATGTAATTGTGATATTTGATAAGTATAAAGATGAGACATGTTTGCTACAAGGACTTAACACCATAAAAAACAAAATACACTTAGCATATGAGGAAGAGAAAGACAATAATCTGCCATTCTCGGATATACCCCTGATTCGCAGGAAAGACAGTTCAATAAAACGATCAATATACCGCAAACTTAGTTGGACAGTATTGAAGTCTTTATAGCTTTTGTCCAACTCAACACGAGTGAAGTTTGGCAATGTACTTATTCCAAATTTCATGAACCATTGCAAAAATCAACCAGCGTAGAAGCCCCTTCTATATTCTGTTCTGAATAAATGCATTTGTATAGCTCTGTACAGAGGGGAATCTCACAGTGTAATTTTAAAACGAAGGCTGAGGTCCACCATCGTTAACAAAACATACTATACAGCTAAGCTTATGGTGGTTGGTTAGACCAAACACATGTTACGACATAGACCTCAGCACTGCATAAACGATTGTATTACATCACACTGAGTTTATCATTTACTTTAATATGATCACATATAAATAGGAAAGACTAATTGAGATATACACTTCAGGGTGGGGAAACATGTACCAAAACAGCTATAAAAGTGGCTGGATTCACAAACATGGATAAGCGCAGGCGGAAGACAATCTATGATCGTTCACTGCAAGACACTACTGAGAAATAGCATAGGTATGATATTAAAACAGCCTTGATAGTTTTGTATAGAAATTGTCACGGGGGTGTGCTTAGGTTTGGTGAGGCGCCAGTCATGTGCAAATTTTAGTCCTCTTTGCGAGTTCGGAAATAGTTTGTCCTTACGGTAAACCTAACCTAGTAATGCTGATCTCATCCTATTAACAAGATCGTTTTCAACTCTTATCAGCCCTTCTTCATTATCTTTCTGATTAATAAATTCCTTTATGTTATATTTATCCTCCCCCTAACTTCAGTTTTCACATAAAATGCCTTGATAAGTAGAAAATGTGTGATCAGAGTTTTCGAATACATCACATCACATTTTTCAGATAAACTCCGTCTTCTCATTACATCCGAAATGCTTACTAATGACATGCTATTGGTACATCGTATTTTAACTACTTATAAACACATATCAGTAATAAAACGCAAGTATTGAAAATATTGGGGAAATGTATGCATCTCTAGTAGGCATAATCTCGCCTGGTTAACTACTACACCAGTTACTAGCCGGTGCTAAGCCCGGGTAAAAAGGGAAGAATGGGCATAAGGCTAGCAATCCTACCCCGGAAAACAAATCTAACCGCTAAACAAACTTCAAAGCACAAAGAAAATATAAAACATAAAAACAAAATTATTCCTCACTGGAATCGGAGGGACGAAATAACGCCAGTTGGCCGACGTGTCTTCGCTCTCCCGATGAGAGCGAAAGTAAACGTGGGGACATGGAATGTCCGCACCATGTTTGAACCCAGTAAGGCAGCCCAGATTGCAAACGAGATGAGAAGGTATAACATCGAAGTGCTTGGGATTTTGCGAAAGCAGATGGAATGGGAGTGGACTCTCCAAACTGTCAACTGGAGAATCAATGATCTACTCCGATATTGTCACCCAGACGCCAACCACGAGCACACTGAGTTTTCGAGTGGCTATCATGATGTTCCCAACAGCATCGAAGGCTCTCATACAGTGGGAACCAATCTCCTCCAGGATCATGACAGAAAGATTCAACTCAAAAGGGAGGAAAGTCACAGTCATACAATGCCACGCTGTGCACCTACAAATAATGCAGAGCAAGAGAAAAAGGAGGAATTCTACAGACAACTGCAATCAACACTGGACAAGACGTCAGTTGGCGGTATCAAAATTCTAATGGGTGAGGTGACATGAATGACAAACTGGGAGTGGACAACACAGGAAGAGAACTAACCATGGGTAGAGAAGCACTCGGTGAGGTGATGAACGAGAATGGAGAATTGTTTGCAGAATTGTGTGCATTCAACGATTTGGTGATTGGAGGCAGTGTGTTCAAGCACAAGGATATCCACAAGGCAGCAACATGGATTTCACCAGACAACAGGACACTAAAAATCAGATCAACTTTATCTTAATCTCAAGAAAATGGAGACGCAGTCTACTTAACACAAGGTCAAGAAGAGGAGCAGATGTAGGTTCAGACCACTCACTATCTAGTGCAAGGAACCTTCCAAATCAAGTTAAAAGCCTTCAAGGAAGTTGGTGATAGACCACAGTTCAAGTACAACACTCGGAAACTGAAGGACGAAACTACAAAGGAAATCTTCACATCAGTCAGCCATCAAGACAAAATGGGAGATATCGAGGAACATCCCTGAAGAAACCTGTGTGGAAGAACACTGGAAGTCTTTGAAAGAGATGTGGGAAGAAACCCGCACAACCGTATTAGGAAGGAAGAAGAAAGAAGACAAGGAATGGATCTCGACGGATACATGGAAGCTGATAGAGGAGAGGAGGATGGTGAAGCAGAAGATAAACCAGTGCAAGGATGCTCAACGACAAGAGGAACTGAGCACAATGTATAAAACACTACACTGGACAAAGAAGTGAAGAAGAGTGCACGCAAAGACAAAAGACACTTCTACGACACATTGGCAAGTGATGCAGAACAGGCTGCAGGTAAGAGAGACCTGACGACATTGTATCAAATAACCAGGTTGCTATCTGGCAAGGAAGAGATCAACGCAGACGAAGCCAATAAAGATGATGACGGAAATTTACTTACGAAAGAAGAGAAACAAAGGAAACGATGAGCCCACCACTTCAAGTAGCTCTTGAATCGACCACAACCTACAGCCGCTGAACTACAAGTGAACATAAATCCTCCAACAAAAATGGAAGTCCTGAACGCCATAAAGCTACTGAAATGTGGGAAAGCAGCAGGACCAGATGGGATCCCGCCAGAAGCACTGAGAGCAGACACAGAGACAACAGCAGACATGCTCACACCACACCACTATTGCAGAAGGTCTGGAAGGAAGGGAAGGTACCTGCCAGTTGATTTGAAAGGCTACCTTGTCAAACTCCCAAAGAAGGGCGACCTAAGCCTTTTCGAGAACTGGCGAGGAATCATGCCGCTGTCCACCCAAAGCAAGCAAAATATTAAGCCGCATCATCCTGGAGAGACTAAAGAATGCACTGGATTCAGGAAGAACAAATCATGTGCAGACCAAATTGCAGCGCTTCTCATCATCATAGAACAGAGTACAGAATAACAGTCAACTCTCCACCTCAACTTTATCGACTTTGAGAAGGCCTTTGACAGCGTCGACCGAGAAGTAATTTGGAAACTGCTTCACTACTACGGAGTACCGCAAACCTTTATCCGCCTCATTCAACAACTATATGAAGATGCCACATGCCAAGTAATCCACAATGGGAAGCTCAGTGATGCTTTTGAAGTGAAGACAGGAGTGAAACAAGGTTGCCTACTATCCCCATGATATTCCTGATTGTGGTCGACTGGATCATGCAGCAAACAGTGGGCAGCGAGAAGAGGGGGATACGCTGGCTGGACTGCGGAAAGAACCTAGAAGACTTGGATTTCGCCGATGACTTGTGCCTGATGTCACATAAACTTGAAGATCTACAGGCAAAAACTAACAGGTTGGCAGAAGAGGCAGCTAAGATGGGACTTAAGGTGAATATAGAGAAGACAGAGGTGATGAAGATACCGCACCAACAACAACAACAACAAACTCCAATCACCATCAATGGGGGAACTTAAAGGAAGTAACCTCCTTCACCTATCTAGGAAGCACTGTTTCAACTACAGGTGGCACAGACGAGGATGTCAAAGTCAGAATCGGAAAAGCAATATAGGCGTTCATTAGCCTGAAACCAGTGTGGAGATCTTCTGCACTCAGCATGCGGAACAAGATACGGATTTTCAACACAAACGTCAAGTCAGTGCTTCTGTATGGCTCAGAGACTTGGCGCGTCACGAAAGGGATTTCCAATAAACTACAGACATTCATCAACAACTGCTTACGCTCGCTACTGAAGATCAGATGGCCAGAAAAGAATAAGCAACAAGGAGCTCTGGGAACGAACCAACAACAAGAACCTGTCACCAACAAATATGCAGGAGGAAGTGGAGATGGATTGGACATGCACTGAGAGGGCCGACTGGGGACATCACGCGTCAGGCCAGCCCTGGAGTGGAATCCCAATGGGAAGCGACGAGTTGGACATCCGAGGTGACATGGAGGAGATGGTGCGAGGAGGAAATGAGAGCTTCTGGGCTGTCGTAGAGCCAGGTTCAGAAGATTTTAGACAACAGAGTTCACTGGAGACGTGCTACTGAAGCCCTATGTTCCATTAGGAACCCAAGGGACAAATTATAATAATAATAGGCATGATCTGCTATTTCGATTCCCCATTCTTATTGACTCCGCTGACTAATAGCCACAACAAAATCGTATAAATCTTCTCCATAAAATGTCTGTGTGGAAAAATGTATCATTTGAAATTTAACTTCCTCTCTATCAGAGTTCCTGCTGATTTATACAGGCTGTACTGTTCAATGACCCACTGTACGGAACCTAGGATTTCTTAAAAGGTTGTCACATAACATTTGAAACTGAAATATTACATTGAAAATCTTCAAAGACAAACGTGATCGTTTCCTTGAATCCCTTAGATCATCTTCACGATAAAAAGTATTATTTAATGAGTATTTATGCCTTTGAATCCTTTCAGAATGAATTCCATTCACCTTACCGACAGAATATTGTTCTCTACTGGAATACTCTTCATGATTATCCTCTCCGGAATTGTATGAACTCCTTTTTGATGAATTAGCCTCATGCTGAATTTGCTCATCAAATCCTGTCAACATTGAATTATGAGAACATCCACCTTCATCAGATGAAGTATAACTAACAGCGCTTGTACTAGTATTTAAAATAATTTTTAGCATACTTTGACGGACTAATTCAATGTCCTCTTCGTCATCAACATTATCATCATCAGCGTTGTTTAGAACTTTTGGACTGAAAAAATTGAATTGTCAGTACCCTTAGTCTTGAATGACGATGCCGTATTATTATTATTATTATTTTGAAAACTTGTTTCAAGAATTTGGATATTTTGTTGTTGTATTCCAGGATTTCTAACAAAATAATCACACAATATAAGCAGTGTATAAAAACTTATAAGAATTTTCTCTTTTCGAAAATATACATCTTTCCACTTTATCACATAAAAAAATATCAACCATTAAAGTAACCCATAGATTTGGCATAAGTGAATGAAACGAACACTGAAAATTGAATAATATGCTAAAATTATAATTTAAACACGAATAAAAGCTAATCTGGACAGAAATTTTGTTGACCGATACTTTTTATCTCCCGTTGTTATATTGAATCGAACTGATCGACTACTGTATATAAGCTCCTATGCGGAGGTCTCGGTACTGCCTGAAGATTCATATCTCATAATTTGGTAGTGACTTCCAGTGAAATCCACGTCACATGCACTTCATTATACTTGCGACTCCCCAGCTGGATGCATCTATATCCCAGTGAGTGATTATGCTCCCACTGAAATTCGAACAAAGACCCATTGCTTCGAACGCCAAAGAGTTATCAAATTGGCTAGAGAGGCATGAGATCCACCTCTTTCGCGACAGTTATCAGTCATTATTTATTGGGGACACTATCACTCATTTTGATCATTATGTCATTCTTCTGAAATTAAATGAGAATCATCCCTCTATCAATTTTACAAAGGAAGTTGGGAACAGCTCAGAATCTCATTTTCTTTATATCTCATTGAACAGGAGACCTGACGACTAACGGTCAGTCTATAGGAAGCCAATTTGGAATGTACCATATACTAATTTCCAAAGTTGGTTACCACTGAGCCGAAAAAGAAATCGTATTCATTTGCTCTGCACCAGAATCAGAAGAATATGACACATTAGACGATGATTTGGAATACCTTCGGAAAGTACCTCTTCAGAATTGTTATCCCTCCAAAAGTTTCTCGAAAAAAACATGAAACCAAAACAAGGGTAAGAATAAGTTCTTACTGTTCCAAGAAGTCCTTATTCCTGAATAATGTAGCAGAAATACTTAAGAATCGTCTCTCGAAAACATTCGGAAAAACATTCTATGCCACGAAGCTGCAAACTGTCGTCTCCAGTTGACAGCTGATTCAAACTTATGGTCCACATCCATGTGTGTCTATTAGTTTGCCTGCTCTTGTGGAACTGGTTATGTAGGTCGTAAAAGCACAGCCTTTATAAACACATTTCTGAACACTAATCTGCTAGGAGAACGTAAATCAAACAAACAGTTCTATGGTGGGTCATTTGGTCAACTCCGGTCAACTAGCTTCCCCACTGACTTCTTTCGAAATCCTATGCAAAGTCAAACCAAATGGCTGGAGGGGAGTACGACTGATCACTTATGCAAAACATAGGCGTGGGTAATGCAACAAAGCCTGAGCTATGTGTACAGAAGAGGTACGTCCATCGTCTTATTTTTTGCAGTGGTAGTAATCCTTTCTTGAGTTTCTTTGTCGCTTCAGAAATCATCTTACTCTTACTGACTGATTATCACTACTTTTAAGGTTTACTTTCCCAAATCTTAACATGTTAGCTCCATTCTCCCATTAAAATACTTACAATAACTTACTTCGATGGTTGATTTTAATCGGTATTATTATTTGTAATCTGTTTATTTTTTAACTTACTAGTTATTACACTAACCTACTGCACACCTCCCTAATCCACCCTTGATTACGCAATCCCTGTCTAACCCTATAGTCTACCAACTATCTCATCCTAGAACATTCCATTTTGATGACCCAATTAGTGTTGACCTGTTTGCTTGTTACTACTATAAATAAAACTGATGAATCCTAACTCATAGAAATAAATTTCAAGTTGGTATTCATCGTGAACTGTATACTTTGGAGAACTATTGGAAATCTGAAAGAACTTGGCAGTTGTTTCTTCTTACTATTACGAGACTCCTCAGCAGTTTTCACCCGTGAGCCCACCAGGGACCGAACCCCAGACCTTCAGGCTTCACAGCCAGCGCGCTAATCGCTCAACCAGTGGGTCGTAGTCCAATGGTCCACATTTTCCTGCTTCCGTCAATTTCGCAGTCTAGCACAACCGTTATCCTGTGGCATCGATAAGTATTTATCCTTTCACCCAACTTGGTTGGTCAGGATTTACCCATAACATTTTGGTGTGTTCCTCTCTCATTTTTAACTAGTTACTTTAGAAACAGCCTCTCAAAACATCAGTATAATGGAGTCTGTGGAACAGAAATCAAATCATTGCTGAGAATAAAACTACTAACAAATATCTTGCATGAATGTCTTTTTGTCAGTCCTGAAATATTTTAAACTCGAGGGAAAAAAGTAACTGTAAAAATGCTCCTGTACCTAAGAAAGTTTGATGGGTATTAGAGCTTTTTTCGACGGAAATGACTATCGTAGAAGTTATTAGACTGTTAGTTGACTGGTAGCAATCGACAGAAAGCCCTATATACTCTTCAGCAAGTCCAACATACAACATCAAAGTAACAGATATCTCCACATCACCCAATGCTGCAGTTAGAGACGATAACACTGAGCTATTTAGGCCGCAGTTGACCTATCTAGGACTGGGTCAGATTCATCCATTGGTCACTGGAGTGTAACTAATTTCACGTTCCCCAGTCCTGACTGGTGACCAAGTCCTACTGATCACTCTATAATGTGATCACCAGGCTGAGACTCAACATCGCGTACACTTTCATTGTTGTTCAATGGTCGGAGACAGTTTGGAGGAAACTGTGGACCTAGGTTTCGTGCTTGCTGGTACTCGTCAGCAAGGTGTGTCTGCTGCCGCAAGGTAAATAATCTCCCTCCTCAGGTTCGAACCCATTTCACATACAGATGCAGTAAGAAATTTTACCACTGAGCCACGGTTGGCAAGTGAAGAAGATGATAGCTGTATTTGAAAGAATACTTGGGATGTAACATAATCGAAACAAGTGAAATAGATAAATTTAGTTGAAAAATGCTCAAAGTAACTCCGAGAAGGGAACTAACTTGGTAGTCTCATAGCCAAACGATCATACTACCTAACAGAAAACACTTCTACAGGTAAACTTTTATGTGTAAAGCAGTATTGTAACCTTTAACAAGAAAGTAATTTTCTTAGACAAACAAAATTGATCAGTAGAAGCACTGGAGTTTCTTGGTTGGTATAACAGTGATGGCAAATGAAGCTGCAAAGAAAAATTAACAGAGGAGAATTCAGCTACGAAAGTTTTCTTACCGATGAGTCCTTTTCAAAAACTGTACAGTCGCAGTCACAGTTACGACAAAATATATCTATCCGTCAACAGCTAATGAGTCAATACAAGGTCATCAAAACCGTGAAGGTGATAACCGCTAGAAGATCAACTCAAGGTCATCAAAGATTGCTTATAGGATAACAATACTTAAAATAACAGTAAAAATAATAGGTAAAATGTCCTGGGGAAATTACGATCAAGACAAAATTACAGATTGAATTTATCTCCTTGAACGCAAAGATCAGGCTTGAACTGCTGGATTACCAAAGCCTCTGTTGTGTTGAGGTGACCCATACGCTCCCTTCCTTCGAAATGTTTGATTCCACCTAATAAATAACTTTGAAAGAAGATTCTCGTGAAGTAAGGTGACCAGAGTTAACCAATGCTCAAAAATCAAGCTGTTGCTGGCTCTACACTCGCCTTTGGAAAGCCATACAGGATAGTGTTCAGAGATGGGTTGGGATGGATTACGCTTGCGCGATTTATGTAACCAGCTCCATAAGGGCAGGTGGATTGGTAAACACACATAGAGGTAGCCCATAGCGGTAGTTTACCCCTTACACACCCTCGAATCAGATGTTAGCTGGAGAAAACAAGCTGGGGATTGTCCTTTGTACAAAGGTTCTTCAGTATATCTGCTAGTGTTTCTCACTTGAATCCAATATTCACAAATGTTATCTTCTTTGGAACCCAAGGGTTTCTTCTTTGAAATATCAGATCTCATTTTCCTAACATTGAATCTTGACCGGCTCTGGTGATTTTATACTGAACAACTAGCTATCGATGGATATATATTTTTTGTAACTATGATTAGAACTGTACAGCTTTTGAAAATGACCCGTCGAAAACAAAATTTTCCTCGCTGAGTTGTCTTTTGTTAGTTTTTGGTTATCTAATATACTATTTGATGGTTGAAAAAAAAACACAACCTGAAGTGTACCAGGATTCGAACTAATGACCTCAGGGCTTTCGAGATAATTCTTTGTCGAATGAATTATGACATTCTAGTCTTTCTAAACGAGTTTGGTTTACATTGAAATGTAGTATGAATGGTTTACTGATTTATGAACAAGACATATAAGCGAACAATATTTTTTTCAATCAGATCCTCTTCAGACTTTAATATAAATACCTAAGCACATATATGTCAATTAAACCAATCATGTATCATGGATAATCAAAGTGGGTCAAAACCTGGCTTGTAAAAATAAAAGTTCCGTAATATTGAAGGACGAAGTAAGTAGATAAACAAAGTCTGCATGCCAAATTTTCATTTCACTTTCAGTCATCACCCAGCATATGGTGAGTGAATGCAAAGAGCGAAAAATAAGAAACGCATAGAAAAACTTTAGCGACAAAGCTGTTTTAGTTGGTTGGAGGCAATCGGCAGGATTCGTGCTTTTTGGCACGCGTCAGCAAGGCGTATCTGCAATCTCTACGGAACTGATGTCCCATCTGAGATTCGAACCCGCGTCACCCAGTGTTGCAGTCAGCGACTTTACCACTGAGCTATTCGGCTATTCAGGCGACTGACATCCTGTAGGACTGGCTTACATGTATTGATTGGTCACGGGAGTGCAACCAACTTCATGTTGTCTAGTCAGTGGTAAAGTCGCTGACTGCAACACTGGGTGACGCGGGTTCGAATCTCAGGTGGGACATCAGTTCCGTAGAGGTTGCAGATACGCCTTGCTGACGCGTGCCAAAAAGCACGAAACCTGCCGACTGCCGCCAACCAACTAATATCTAATAATGTACTCCACGATGCTGAGCTTCCTAGCTTGGTTGCCACATTGTAAATATGATCGATAGAATTCGATCTGTACTCAGGACTAGATAACATGAAATTGGTTGCACTCCCGTGACCAATCAATACACAAAGCTGTTTTTTTAGATGAATAGGATTTTAATTTAGAGGTGGTATTCATCACGAATTGAAAAGGCCGTTTTCTAAAGTATTCCCTTGTCAAAGGAGAGACAAGGGATGTACACAATTTTTCTGGATACAAAGACTAAGATTAGTTGTAAACGATTAGTTGGAATACTTTTTGATGGATTAGATGGTATGCGGTAAAATAATATTGAATCCATTGTTCTTATCTACCAAGTGACCACTATAAACGAGATAAGATATTTTAAAACAATTAGTTCCCTTAATAAACTTCAACAAAACCTTAAGAAGGAGTAAATTGTCTTAACAGTGTAATGTATTTGTGCAACAGATTTCGAATAATATGATCACACATATACTCCTCTTGAAGATGAAAATAACTTTACAAGAGATTGTTCTACAGAAGACGTGCAATTTTTACAGGGAACAGTCACTGCTAATCTAATAAAAGTGATGGATATGAACATTATTATTAGACAAGAAATTGATTCATTGAAACCAACTGAATCACAATTTCCATGTCTTTATGGCTTATCTAAAGTATACAAATTCAACAAGCCGTTACATCATATAATGTCAATGTAAAAATCACCGACACAAAAGCTTATCCGGTGGCTAGTGGAACTATCGGACCCCATTAAGAAGAGATTTTGTAAGTATTCCTTAAAGTATACACTGGAAGTAATCAAATGCTTTGATGACGTCAACATAAAGAGATTATGTTCATTTGACATTAACTTACTATTCACCAATGACCCTTTGATCAAGACAAGCTACATTTTATGTGGTTGTGTTTCTGTTTTTCAATATCCATTTCTCTGTATCACTTAAATAGCTGCTAATTTTATTCACAATTAATATTAAGTTTAAATTCGAAAGCTAACATTTCCGTCAGGTTGATGGCGTTGTCATAGGAAATCCCTTAAACCCCCCTCTTATCTGACACATTTATGTCACACAAGGAAAACTTAGCTGAGAACTTAATCGCAAAAGCCCATTCATCTCGAAGAAATGTCAGTGACATCCTGTTTGTGATGACTCAGGTCAGTTCACTTCAATTCTAAACTGATTGGATGAAGTACAAAGCAGCACATCCTTGACATCTGCAGAAGAGGATGGTGACTGCTTACCTTTCTTGGACATACTAATTAGTCGGTGGCAGGATAGATCCATAAAACAATCTGTCTACAGAAAACCTACATGGACAGGGCAATATTTCAACTATCATAGCTTTTGTTCAGTTCAGTACAAGTGAACGTTAGGTAGGTGCTTGTTCAATAGAAGTCAACGAATATGCACACATGATACATTGGAAGATAGAACATTGACTGTTGGAAAATAACTGTCCATCGCTCTATTGATTTTCATTGTTATTTGCCATCAACTTAGCTTTCTTACTTGACCTCTTTTCACATACCCCTTATCTTAATGAATTTTCATATAAACACCTATGACAAGTACTTGTGTGGTCAGATTGTTCGAAATGTTTCGCGCGGATATACAAACACTGTTCAGACAATTTATCGAAGTTTATAAAGGAAACTAATTGTTTTACATCCATATTACAACTTTTATGTCGATATTGGTGACTAACACAGGAATCTAGGACGCGCGTTTCGTCTTATTTGAGACTCGTCAACTGGATGTAACTGCACTCCACTGACTGACGCCCGTTGCACAAGAGGTTGCCGTCGTGCTTCAGTGGCTTAGTGGATAACGTTGTGACGTTTGAGGCTATGAGTACTGAGTTTGAGTCTAGGTGAGAACAACACCACTTACTGAGGTGCTGGCACTTCCAGCTGACGGGTCACAAATAGGACAAAACGCGCCTCCTGTATTCCTCTGCTAGTCACCAAGATCAGTATAACACCATGAATATCAGGTAGTATCAAGGCCTCCACATAGGAGCCTATCCGCCAACAGAGGTTCAGCGATTCCGTCCTGTATAGCAGCGGAAAGTTACAAGCATCATAACAACTATATTACAACTGCTTTAGTCAACACTGTCATTATGACTGTCAACATTATTATTATTGATTGATTACCTGAGATATCCGTGGTTTGGCAGACTTATATTGATACTAAGTGATGATTCAAGGTGAAATGAAAGCCTGGGCCATGGGAAGATTCGAACAAGCGGTGATGACTATTATTGTCACTATCGTTAGTTTAAAACACCTATCACGTTAACCGGTAAATCTACATGATATATATATATATATATATATATATATATATATATATATATTACGAAAGCCTGAAGTGGATCTAATTGAAAACTATAATGTTCGCTTATATATCTTGTTTTCATTCACTTGATGAGGACTTTTAAAACTCCTAAATTATGAATAGCTGTCCACTCCTGATTCAATCAGAAAGTATGATAGGACGAAGATCTCTTCAGCAGATCAGTCTCATATTTAGGCCGGTACAGCACTGAAAGACACTAGTTTAAGTATGCAGTTGTTAGTTCGTCAAGCTACCTTCCGCCTTCAATTATCTTTTTATACTCAAAATAAAAAAAAACACTTTGAAACAACCGCTTACTGTGAGTCCTGGAGATTAATGTGATCATGATCATCTTGTGAAGGAGAAGAGGAATTTCTAGGTAGTAAATATTGATCTTGAACAGATCCAACTTCGTCTAGTTCAATATCATTGGATAGTGGGAATAGGTTACTAATATTTGGTAATGAACCGGATTTAATCATCTATGAAAGACAAACAAAATGTAGAAAGAAAGTAATATAATGAAAAAAGTTATTGTGTAGTCTGTAACTATCTAATGGCCTGCTTATACCCTGGGTCACCAAACGTTTTCCATCAAATTGTTCCTTTTCATTTTGTTTCAATCTTTTGAATATTTATATATACTGGGTGATGACTGAAGTTGAAATGAAATTTTGGACTGCGGCCAGATTCGAACCAGCGACCACTGGGTTTCCGGTTGGTAGAGCATCGAGCCAGAATTCTGGTGGTCGCTGGTTTGAATCTGGCCGCAGTCCAGATCTTCATTTCAACTCCAATCACCACCCAGTATATATATACTAGTCTGCCAAACTATGGCTATCTCAAATAGTCAAGTGATAATATTTATAGTATACATGGCGGACATATAAAAGTCTGCTATTGAAAATTGAGTATCCATCAACATGAAATTAAAACATAATACGGAGAAAGTAGTCAGTTCTAAAGAAGGCTTTATTTATGAACTCTGATTTGGAAGTTAATAAGGCAGCAGAGATCCTCAAGAATCTTTGAGGAAGACATTCTTCCCTGCGAAGCTACAGATCAGCTTCTCTACTCAACAGTTGGTTCTAGGGTGTGTAAAGGACAAGTTGTCGCATTGGGTTATCTCAATCTGTCTACAAATGTACTTGCTCCTGTGGAGCTAGTTATATAGGTCATACAAAGCATACACTTTCCAAACCTATCTATGAAGTTTATCGTCCATGGTTGTCGAGGGGAGAATGTAAATCAATTAAGAGTTAACTTCTTGAAGATTTGGTCATCTCTGAACATATAGCTCCACCAGCTTCCTCCTTCAGTGTCATTTACAAAGTCAAAGGGAATAGTTTAAAGGGAGTACATTTTCGATAGTTGTCCACAGCAGAAGCACTAGAAAATCACCAGTTCAAGTCTAGTGTCTGCGTGCAGAAGAAGTATGTTCAGTCTTTCATCTTACCATGGTTTTAACACTTCCTTAATTGTTTTTCGACTTCATTATAATCAGTTAGTTTACTATAACCACCTTCATTATGACTCTTGTTTCTTTCTTCACCTTCTTTATATCTATCAATTAGACATTCAGTCTTCGCATTTCACATCTGTCAACAGTTTTCACCTTATCAAACTCCCTGCCTTCCTCATTATTTCCGTTGTCTAAAAGATTATTACGCAACCATTTTCCAGTCTTGGTTTCATTATTTTAGCACTAGTCTAATAATGTAAATATACCCTGTTGTTCAATAACAGACTGTTATACGTTTGTAATGTATGTAAAACAACGATTGTTCAGCTTTAGAAAATGATTTCGTATAAAAAGAAAAGATCTCTTCGGCAAATTCTCTTTTCATTTCCTTATGACTGAATGGACATGTTTCGTCGTCTTTTGAAAATGTCTTCTCAATGTATAATGTTTTCTCGCACATTTTTAAAGAGTTTTCAAGTTAACAGCAAAATGAAGAGAAAACGTCACGACAGATGAAAATGGACTTTGAAACGTACAAAACTATACCCAGGATACTTAGCTCGAATTGCAGACTCTTGTACTGGGTCAATGAACCACTACCACCAAGCTTACGCTCGCTTTTCTGTTCATTTTCTCGCTGCAAACTGGACACTTATCAAACACCAACTAGTTGTTTCACATTACTGCCCTTAATACTGTTACTACTAACATTATTCAAACGCCGTAGTTATTTCGTTTAAAAATATTGTAATGAGGGTAAATGTTTTGCTGACACATGCTGAGAATTCAATACTGTAACAAACATATTGTTTAAAATAAAGCGATTATTTGTGACTTTGACTATGTGAGACAGCTATGGCTTGGCAAACTTTTATCATTGATACTGTGTGGTGATTGAGTGTGAAAATCTGAACCGCCATAGGATTCGAACCGGCAACCTCTAAGTTTCAGGGCCGCTGCTGTACCAACTGAGGTGGGAGATCCAAGCAGAGACTCGATTATAATTTCACTTCAATCACCAAGGATTTTGCCTGACTGATAAATGAATTCATGGTGCTTTTCTATCCTTTCATCGTTTCGACAATGGCTTTCCAGTCAGGACTTCTTCATCCTACCTCAAATCACCCTGAATTAGAATGGGGAAGCATCATATTGATTATCAGTCTGACCGTCTTAGATAGCCGTGGTTTGTCAGATTGATGCTGGATGATGACTGAAGTTCGCTAGCTCGAATCCTGCCGGGACCCAGATTTTCACTTCATCTTCAATCATCACGCAGTATTATTACTTTTTTAATTATTATAAACAGCGGATCAAGAACATGTAAAAAATCTATTAGAACATCTTCTTTTGCAAACTATCAGTGATTTTTTAGTTAGTTTTATTGAGGAACTGATTTATATGAAATATGAAGTTTATCTTCAACGGAAATAGCTTGTTTCATGGTTGACTGGAATGAAACATCGTTTGTTCATTATAGTTTGGGATGACTTTTTAAGGTCATCCTAGCAGCTAATGCGGCAAGTTTTTTTCTACCCTGTGGAATATATACTCCCAAGCCAAATGCAGAAATCTTACTGGTTATTTCAGCCATTGGTGCACACCAATATCCTGTGCGACACAGTGGTTGAATTCAAGGTCGACAATAATAGTGTAATGTGGGCGACTTTAAAGGTCACCCAAGCAACTTATGAAACACCAGTCACGTTTCATTATTCAGCGAAAAATTGTCTTCTCAGCCAAAATACCGCAACCTGATTGGTTTTTTCAGTTGTTAGGGTGGCCTTTAAAGTCACTCCGTAATGTGAACACTGAATATTTCGATTCGTGTAGTAAGCCCGACTTTAAAGCCTATCCTAAAAAACGAAAGATGCTTGATCCTACAGCCAATAACTTTTTGCAAGAGTCATTTTCTACCCCTTCTCCTCGTCACTGTCACTTGTCGTCAAATCAAAATAGACGAGCAAACAGTCCACGTGATTGGTTGAACGAAATCGAAAGTACCATAAAACAACAAAAAGGGTTACTTATGTTTCATGATGAGCGACAGTAATGTCCGAAGTGTCGCAACCGGAAATGAATCAATCTTTGTGGAGTTTTTGTTTCTCCTTGTTCCCCTCCTCAGAATCTTTTAACGACTCCTTAAAGAAGTAATAGAAGCAGACGTACACGCACTGCGTTGTGCGAGATTCACATTTGCAAAGTGGTGACCAAAGAGCCTACATCAAGTTTCCTTGTTTTAAGGCTAGTGGACGCCTGCGTGTTTTCATTATATATTTCATAAGATATCCCTGAAATGCTCCTGTCTGGCATTCGTGCTCGCCAAGTTTCTAGAAGGTTTCTGGACAGTAACCTGGTGGCTGTTAACTCACAATCATCTCTGCAAATCTCTGCTTTATAACAATAGTTCTTGGGCCAGGAAGTTGACGAGAGTTGAATTGGACAGCATAATGCCGTTGCTAATACCTGGCATGGCTGCATTTGATGTTGTTGATTTCATTCATGCACATTATGGTAAACGACTGAATAATCAAGGTATGCTCAATGTGTGTTATCGCTTCTTTTTTCAGCATAATTTGACCGGTATGTGAATTTGCCGATGAAACGATTTTGTTGTAGGCAGTTATGAAAAATACACGAGCATATAATAGATCATGGTGCGAGGTATACTTCCAAACTGATGCACCAACCACTATTCCAATTGCTATGCTACATTCCATATATTCTGCTTATGGAATTCAGATCCATAAAGCTTTTATTTGAGTGCTCTGTGTGTGAGGTAATTCCTTGTCAGAAAGGTAATGCAACTAACCGAGAATTAGAGCGACTTTCACTAAAACAGGTAATGTACATCCTTATCCTCCATAACTGTGTCTATTCCACTTTCTAATATCAGACGGAGACAAACTACAGCATAAGTGAATTTATACTTCACAACGGGATGGCCGTCCTAAGGGCCATCACATGTGTGATTTGAATGGCTTATTTTGTTCTTTTAAATAAAAATTCTACCCAGCGCCCAATATTTGCCATACAACACGATCAAATCTTGATCATAGTTTATATAAAAAATATTTCCTTTTTGCAGGATTTCCCAAATACTGACTTTCTCCCAGAATATGGAGTTGTGTTGCTGTGACTGACGAAGGGAATAAAACTTTGTAACTTCTATCAATAATAATAAACTTAAGAATATATAATTTCATCCCATTGATTTCGTCGTTATTACCAGACCAGTATCTGTTGATGTAGCAAGCATTTCACGTACACCGATTTCCTTCTCAGTATATATGAAATTATGATTGTCTGCTGGTTGCGTAACATCACTGAGACGACGTCAATTGCATCAATTGCAGAAATACTTAAACGTGTCTCAACTACATCGGTATCTTGTTCGATATCGTTGAAGGTGTGTATAAAAAGAAGTGTTTATTAATATACTAGAATAAATGGTCTTGAAAGTTGTGACGATTATTAGCTATTTGTGAACAAGCACATATTTTCATTTCCTGCTGATATACTGACGGAAAACTGTTACTCATGGTGGTGAAGTGTTTATTTAACTTAAGGCGTGATGTCAGATGAACTTAAAAACATCCGGACCGAATGTACTAGAATAACTTAAGGTGTCAAGTCTCTTTTCATCATTATTAAAGTATATTGCAACTTAATCCAGCCTATTTGGAATATTTTACTGAAAATCTGTGGCTTACACAGCGATATGTTCAGAGAAATTTTGTCGGCATACTGGGATTACAGCACAATATACCCTTACAACACTAAAAGTCAAGAATACGAGAATTATCAAATTTCACTTAATTTGATGAGTTTAGCAGGGATGATATCTGTTCACATTGACCACAGAAACGTCATTGCCAAATAGTGAAGCATAATGGGGCGTAGCAACTGCTTTTCGGAATAGATATCAACACAGATTGAAGGGAGTCACTTTCAAGGCTACCCTGGCAACTAGTGTAATAACCAATTAGATTTCACTATTTTGGCCAGAATGGTAGTTTT